AATAATTATTAATTGGAATGAGATAACTTTATGGAAAATAAAAAAGTGTGAATCAGAAAACATCAGTTTGCTCAATATCAATTGAGTAAAATATTTTAACGAAAAATTCTATTTACAAACAATATTTTCATGTGTAATAAAATTTTCAATTTCATTTTTCAGGTTCAAAGAAAAATTCATTTTTCAAATCAGGACATTAGAACTCGGTGTCTGTAATTCTTTATGGTACATTTATTCTTCCCAGCCATTCAAATAAGCAAATTTACTTAAAATTTTTATCGACCATTTATTATTCCCATACATTTAAATGTACAGGGTTATTGATTGAACTTTGGCCACCCCGTTTTTGCATCTAATTTGAAATTTATAGAAAAATGTTAAATCCAAAAGTTGTAGATACTAACGTCTGGTTTATTTTAAGATAATACCAATTGATACTCTGAAATTCAAGTGGCAGAACCAAACTTGCGTTTTTTTAAATGGAATGCCGTACTTTTTTTGCATATTCGAACTATTCGCACAATTCTAGGCCTACTCGGTATAAATGTTCTATAATGATTTTCAACTGTTTTCGAGTTAATAATCAATATTGATTGAACTTTGGCCACCCCGTTTTTTCATATAATTTGAAGTTTAGAGAAAAATATTAAATACAAGAGTTGTAGATATTAACGTATAGTTTATTGTAAGATAATACTAATTGATACAGGGTATGTCAAACTCAAGTGGCGGTACAAACTTACATTTTTTTAAATGAAAACGGGCACCTATTGATACAGGGTGTCTCCAAGTTATTGTGGAAGCTGCATTTTTTTCTCGCATACAAGAGCGCATTTAGACCGGCTCGTTAACCATCACGTTTGCCTGATTTAATTTCTATCTCAGATTACCTTCTGTGGGGAAATTATTATATGCTGTCCCGAATGGCACTGTAGAGAAACTACTAGTGATAATACACTGGTACAAAAAATAAATTGTTGCAAATAGTTAGCTCTATGCTATCCGCATGATTTTCTACTATACTAAAATTAATTTATAAAACCATACTCATGCGGAGCTTTCCACAAAATATTTTAATGAAAAATGGTCTAAATTAACGAACTGATATAAAAGACACCCATTTCATAAAAACTAGTTGCAAATCAGAAATTTTATTTCCAAAATTATTAGATGATGTCCCTGACTAAAATCTGCAATTGTTAAAGCAAACCAATTCACAGTTACCTACTAAATAATATGGAAAGCAAATCTTTTTAAAATTTTCTATACAATTTGTGTACAGAGGTCTCTCTTCAGAACATTTTAGTATCGTCCATAAGCTACTTTCGGAATATCGTTTTAAACAAAGAAATATTAATTTGATCTTTGCAATTAACGCCCAAAATGCCTCCACACACTGTATACAGGGTGTCCGTTTTTTTGGAGCTCAGCCATGGAGATCTCGGTAACCATACTGGATACGAGATTGGTTAAATTGGGGCAAAGTTGCGCAGTCTAGAGCTTACGTTCATACGTTCATTGAAAATTTTAAAAACTTCTGTTACTTCCGGGGATATCCGGAAAATATCGAAATTCGAAAAAATAGTTATTATTTTTTCCTTAGCTTACTTGGCGAGGAAATTTAAAATAAATAATACTTATTCATTGCAACTTTTTCCCTTCTACAACGTGGCGATGCTGTATCTAAAATCCGACTTATAGATTCTCGACAACCATCATCAACTTTGCTTTTTCTTATGGGCGCTATTTTGGATTTTCACATGTTTGAATTTAGCTTTTTTCCTAATTACAATGATGTATCACATGTTAAGGTTCAGTCTTGCTGTTTGGTGAAAATAACAAAAATCCTGTTTTTGCAAAGAGTGCTGTGGGATAACACCCACTTTTGTTTAATCAACAGATTTTAGACAGTTTCTGTATCTGTTTGAGTAGGATAAAAAGGAAAAACAATGTTGTATATGAAACTAAACTTTGAGAAACCAGTGAATTAAAAAAATCATAAAAGGTGCGCGAAGGGTTCACCTTCCACTCCCAAGCACATATCTATGCTTCTCATTAATTTTTTTATTGACCTTAAAACGTCTCTTCATCTAATTTTGGTCCTTAGGTTGTGACGATCTTCCTTCGCAGGTCATTAATATCAGTGGGTACACATTTATAAATGAATTTTTTTATGGCTCCCCATAAATAATAATCTAAAGGGGAAAGATCTGGTGATCGTGCCGGCCAACGTATGTGCCCATTGATGGAAATGACTCTGCCGGGAAATATTTCAGGCAAACAATCATCCAGTCTTCTAGCATTATGTGGTGGAGCATCATCTTGCTGGAACCAAAGGTTTTCCAAGCGGCAGAGCGAAATGTTGTTATCGATGTAATCCGTAAACAAAGTTCTTATAAAGTGCAAATACCCATCTGTGTTGAAATTGTCTTCGTAAATGTATGGGCCAATAATTGTATCGCCAAGTAATCCAATTGTCAGTAGACCAGACATGCTCATTGTGACTATCAAACATGCCTGAGTTTGTAAACTTGCACTCATCCGTAAATATTACATTAAAAATAAAATTTGCTGAAAGTTGATTTTGCTCCAACAGTGTAACAAAAGGCTACCCTCTGTTCGGTATCTCCTAGATGCGAAACATGGGTGATATGAATTTTAAACAGACGATATTTATACTTCTTTAAGACTCTCCACACCGCCTGATGATATAGTTATATAGTTCTTGTTGAAGTAGAAGGAATTATCTTGAATCTAATGGAGACTTTAATTAAAACCGTTTATTACTTTTGATGAGAGTTTAACATTTCACTCACTCCCTGTAAAATTTCCACTTCGTTCTCATTTATCCTCAGATCACGTTTTATGTGCCTACAAAATACACCAAACTCGGCTAAATGTCTATGCAAGAACAGAAAATAATTGTTGGTTGTTGTCTTTTTGGATACCGCTGTAGATATGTTTCCGAAGTAAAATGCACATTTCGATGTGAAGCGTAATAAACTTCGATCATATCTCGTTATTCTACATTTCAGTAAGAAATTTTGACAAAAAAATTACAAAAATATTAAGCCAAGCGAAATTAAGTCAGACTGTCTAAAATCTGTTGATAAAACAAAAGAGTGGCTGTTATTCCCAAGCACACTTTGCAAAAACATAATTTTTGTTATTTTTACCAAACAGCAAGAGAATCTTAATGTGATACATCATTGTAATCAGAAAAAAGCTGATTTAAACATGTAAAAATCCAAGATGGCGCCCATCAGAAAAAACAAAGTTGATGATGGTTGTCAAAAATCCATCAATTGCATTTTAAATACAACATCGCCACGTTGCAGAAGAGAAAACGTTGCAATGATGAAGTATTATTATTCATTTTAAATTTCCGCGTCAAATAAGCTAAAAAAAAATAAAAACTTTTTTCGAATTTCAATTTTTTCTCCGGAAGTAGCAGAGATTTTTTAAATTTTCTATGAACAATTTAGTAAGCCCTAGACTGAGCAACATTGCCCCAATTTAACCAATCTGGTTACCGAGATTTCTATGACTGAGCTCCAAAAACGGACACCCTCTATAGGTAGTTACATTATTTAAAATGTATGAACATACAGGTAAGTTGCAAAATGTATAATCAAGAAAATGTGAACAGTGTTGTACGCAAATGGGACTTATTAGATAGAAAATTATTTTTCTCTGGCGATTCAGACAGTCAATATTAGACCTTTCATTAACTAAAAAAATTCAATAGTTTGCGACATATTTAGATTCCATGGTCAGTATAATTTTGATAAACTTGTACCATTCAACCTATTATAATTATCAACCCCTTTGCAAGAAATATAGTTTTTTTTTAATTTTGTAATTTTAGATTGTGTCTTCAATTACCGCGTCCCTGCGTTTCGATGGAGCCCTCAATGTGGATTTAACGGAATTCCAAACCAACTTAGTACCTTACCCTCGAATTCACTTTCCTCTGGCCACTTATGCGCCAGTAATTTCCGCAGAAAAGGCCTATCATGAGCAGTTGACAGTTTCAGAAATAACCAATGCTTGTTTCGAGCCTGCTAATCAGATGGTCAAATGTGATCCGAGACATGGAAAATATATGGCCTGTTGTATGCTATACAGGTATTTATTTATTTATCGTGCGGCAATCTTTAACTTGACTTATAAATATGGCTAAGTATGTACATATACATAAGGCAAAAACTTCAGCAGATTGACATACAAGGAAAATACTTTATATGAATACATCTGAAACATAGGCTAGGGGTTATAAATCGACATACAAGCAGTGGCATTCAGAATCTCGTTCCATTCTCCTTCAAATCTTCTTTCTTGACAGTCGTGAGCTATTTGGTGAGCTACAGTTTGATCTGGCTTTCCTCAGTCGCATTCTCGGGTGTCCGAGAGTCCCCATCTGTACAACAAGGACCTGCTACACCATGCTTTCCTAGACATTTGCATTCCTGAGAGAGGAACGGTGGAATCCCCATGGTCATTGTGACTAAAGTCATGATTGGATGTCCATCTGCCTGATTATCTTGCCAAATGGAATTTTTGGACTGCGGCCCGTAGCATTATCCAATATCATGTGGATGTTCAGAGTTCTATGGTGTTTAGGATTGTGAACTCAGGTCTGGTCGTGCTAAATTTGTTAGTGCCTGAAGTGAAGGTATTGGGGTAAACTTTAGGGTTCCTGATTCAATCTCAACGTATTATTGAGTTGCACATCGACTTTGTTAGTGTGAAAACTCCTGTACAACACTAGGGCACAGTATTCTGCTGTTGAAAAAACAAATGGTTGAGCTGCCATTCGTAGTGTTTCTACTTTTCCTCCCGAAAGTAGTCCCAGCCAGTTTTCTGATGATGTTGTTAGTTTTTGTCCAGTCAGATCCAGGTGTCTTTTATGTGTTAGGGAGCGGTCTAGTGTATCGCCAAGGTATTTGGGGTGGTCGTTGTATTTTACTCTTTTACGACAGAATGTGATATTCAGGTCTTTATCTGCAAGGCGGTTGTTAAGATGGAATGCACATACCTCGGTTTTGCCTGGATTTGGGCATAGTCGCCACTGTTTCTAATATGTCCGAAGGATTCTAAGTCCGCCGTTAGGGTTTTTTCGCCATCCTCAAGGTGACTGTGTTGGGTGGCTATAGCGATGTCATCAGTATAGCACAACTTTTGGGAGTTAGTTGCCGGCAAGTCGCTGTTGTAAAGATTAAAGAGGAAAGGGGGCTAGTACTGAACCCAGAACCCAGAACCCATAAAGCCTGTTCAACTGTCAAGCGCACCTGCACGCGTGGTACTCTGCTAGAAAACAGACGAGGCTCTGAGCATCGTATCACAGCGGTATAAGCGTTACAACGGGAATGAAAGAAATATAATTCCCTCTTTCTTTACCATCTTCCAACTCGTTTGGTCAGCGTGGAAGATTATGGTTAAAAACACCCTTAAAAGGCAAAATGGCGAATATCGAAAACGAAGGATTTGGTCCTCAGGTGGGACAATCCCAACCCTCCAAGGAGGGCTGCCCTATGGAATCTGGGGAGGGAAAAAAATGCTAGTTATGCCACAAATTTCCAAAGCAAAACCTCTGTTACGACTGTTATGTTCTGATAATATCAGAACACTGCTCTCAGATGAGAGAATGATACAACTGGAGGAAGAACCGCAAAACATTAGGTGGGATGTCGAAGGTCTCAGCGAGGTCTGGGAAAAAGGTGAAAATCAATAACTCTGGGATCCGGAAACTTATTCCACTACAAAGGATTAGAAGAATATTTTTCTTTTAATCCAGGGGTTGTGTAGGCTTCATCGTGCACAAGAGACACCTTGCAAATATAAAGGAGATCAAAAGTATTAGCTCCAGAGTCATTACAAAAACGAAATAGGCTATTGCTTCACGGACAACAGAAAAATAGGCGAAGACATCTCAGTGCAGAACAACTTTAAAACTGGCAGGGAACACCAAATGATCAGAGCAAAGGTGGCTCTAAACATAAAGAAGGAGCGAGTAAAACTAATGTCTAAAACTAAGTGCAACAAATGGGTACCTCCCGGTAAGACGGCATCTTACCAAAATAAGATAGCTGTACTAGAGTACTAGGCGCAATTGAACATTAAGAAGATGAAGATATCGACATCGAGAAACTAAAGGCATCTACAGAAAACAGCATCAAATCGGCTGAGAAGGCACACTGCTCAGAGAGGCAGGCCAAGGATGAGAATATCAGTCAGAATACTAAAGAGCTTATGAGAACGAGAAGTAAATATAATGAGAATTATGCACAACTACGAGAACTCGATAAAGAAATTTCAAAATCGGATAATTCGGATAATATAAACAAGATAATACAGGAAAAAATATGCCTAAAAGTACTCAAGAAAATTTGTCACAAGGCAAGAAGAATATTTTATATAATTTGTCACAAGGCAAGCTGAGGGATAAAAAAGGCAATGTGAAAACAAAAAGAGAAGAAATCCTTAAGATACTAGAGGCATTTTATGCGGAATTATATAAAAAAAAACAAACAGAAGGAGCACCTAGCGATAAAATTACTAAAGTTCTGACCCCAGGGTCGGAAAATATTCCAGAGATCACAGTAAGCCAAATAAATGGAGCTCTTTCTGATATGAAAAACAACAAGACCCCAGAAGAGGATGGATTAGTTATCGAAGCAATTAGAATGGGAGGAAACAACCTGCTGCAGGCTATAAAAAGCCCTTTTAAGGCATTCCTTTCAAAAGGAACGCAGTTATAATATTATCACACAAACAGTGAGACAACAAATATCGGAAACTATAGACCCATAGGTCCCCTGTCACACGTTTACAAACTCTTTACTAAAATAATTACAAAAATACTATGTCGCAAACTAAATTTGTATTAGACAAACAGAACAGGCTGGTTTTCGTCAAGCTACGGAAAGGGTGACCACCTCCAGGTTTTGAAGAACCTTATTGAGAAATGTGTGGAGTACAAGAAGCCTCTAGTACTTGTCT